TCTGATATTTTTTTTTCACACAAACAGAAAGCAACAATCCCTTTTGTTATTCGACGTTCAGTGTCCAATTATCCAGTAATCCACACCCACAAGGCTGTGTCCTCTAATTTGGTATCCCGAAAATCCGATTTGGGAGATAGGTACCGTTCACTTGCATAAACTCAGCTTTAGAGCTTTTTAAAATGAATACCGTAAGCAAACAACCTGTTACGGGTTTAGTAGCAATTTTTATGATATCCTCCATAATTACATTAATTTCTTTTTTAATTTAATAATACAAAAATAAAATCATAATTCTTATATAGGGTTCTGTAAAAAATTTTGTTAGTTGTAAACATTGAAACCAATGTTTAGAATTGAAATGCCCACAATTCGGTAAATAGTGGTATAATTAAATTTATTTTTAAATAGTTTTACGATTTTGGTTGTCGTTTTAGCTCATATTCCTGATAGAGGTGAGCGAAAAACCGATGTCTCTTAAATAAAGTTTATCTACGGTATTTACGATTATTAGAGTATTATCATAGATAGGTAAAAGTAGTTCGTGTGAATCATAGATTAAGAATAATACCTTGGTTTGAATTATCACATTTTTTTTTTAATAGGAGAATGAAATAGTGACTACGTCTGCACTATTTCATTATTCATTCACTATCAACTTCTAGCAGCAGTATTTTTGAACCGATATGACATCATAACCTTCAAGAAAAGAGCATATTCCTTATTAAAAGGCCGGCAACACACCTGCAATACCATTGGTGTTGTGGGTGATCATGGGCAGTGGTAGTTATTTACCATTAGGTGAGCCGCATGCTCATTTGCCCCCTGTGTTTAAAAAAAAATATATACACTGGCAGGACACCACTAAGGGTCATAGATGAGGATGAAACAAGTCAGTTAATCCATCGTAACTAACAATCTCTTTCCTTCTACTGCGAAGAGGTTGATCTAAAAGGATACAATAACACTAATAATGGGGTCGCTAGTCCCTTCCTATTACCAAAAATCTCATTTCCAATATCTCTAGCAGTAGATAGATAGAAAAAGTTAATAATTAATTCTTAGTTTAAAAACATTTTAATTAAAATGTATTATTAAATTCAATCTATAACAAAGATGGGGTTAGAAAATTAATTAATTTTTTTTCACAAGCGATAACAGAAATGTACCACAACTAAAAAAAAAATTACATCACATTATTTTTTTTTATAAGCCACATTCTAAATATTGTAATGAAAAAATTAAAAGTTGGATAAAATAAACATTATTTATAAAAAAATTATAGCGCCATCTAGAATGATAATTGAAGATTACTTGAAATAAAATGCCATCTTCTGACTAATAGCATTAACATTAGACTCTTTTATAATTCTAATGTTATTTAATAGATGGCAGGCTTTGTAAATAAGATACTTTCTAGGTATTACAAAAATTTTGTGCTTAGCTTTAATAATTGATTGTAATATTATTTTTTAAATTATTTGAGCTTATTAACTTACAAATAATAAAACAGTTATTACTGCTATGTATATTTTATTTTATAATTTCAAATATAATAGGACAGCCGAAATAGCTCAGTTGGGAGAGCGTTAGACTGAAGATCTAAAGGCCCTTGGTTCAATCCCGGGTTTCGGCAATTCTTTTTTTATAAACATAAGAAATGACGCCGTTCCATATCGAAGTGTAGGGAAGTCTATACTCACCAATAGACCGATACCGGTTAATATAATAACGATGATAATGATTAAGGTATCGTAATCATATAATTGTGTACTTTGAGTTGGTGTTTAATTACTCCATTGTGGTGAATATAATCCAAAGGACCGTACATAACCGCCGTATTGTAGTTTATTTTGTTAAAGGTGTTAATCATCATCGGTATATGAAATGACAACGTGACAGAGACAGTGAAGCCTTTGAAAAAATTGATAATGAGACTACACTAAATATCGCACTTGAAATCTATCAATATTTGTAGCATCACATCGCTTTGTACATATAAAATGTGCAAATTATGTTAATAATATAAATTTGCCGTTATATAATAATTTAAAATTATATTTTTTTTTAAATAATATTACCACTAAACTAAGTTTAAAGTATTATATGATGATAAATTTATATTAATTAATTAACACAATTTCCCTTTGCTTAAATATTTTGTTTATTGCATGGTTCAAAAAGATGCATCGACCGGGAATCGAACCCGGGCCGCCCGCGTGGCAGGCGAGCATTCTACCACTGAACCATCGATGCTTGTGGAAGAAGGTTTGAAATATTGATACAGATGCTTATAAAATAAAATTACAATATAAAAAATATATTTATAGAAAGTTCATAAACACATACCTAAACAAAAAAAAAGGTCCAAAATTTAATCTATCATAGTTATCTACGCTGTCAAATTGACCGCCACATGTTCTTCTTCGAAAAACCATCGTGGTTCCTTTTGAATTCATTATGATGAGCCGTCTGAATTGATTTCATCCTCCCCTTATTGATATTGTACTTCGACATTGTATCTATGCAATTTGTAAATATGTGCACCATTCTATAATTATCCATTAAAAAAATTCAAAAGTGAACGCATGGTTTCTTTAAAAAGTTCATAAATTCTTATCTGACCTGCTCTTGACACCGGCTTCAGGAAAAACTTCTTCCTTAATCTATAGAAAGAGCGAATGTATATAATAAATATTAAATATTTTTACAGTATCTGATACAAATGTACAACAAATATGCAATTTACGTATTTTATATTGGACGCTCGTATTATTCCACGAAATCGTTTTGATTCTATACCATAAAGTTTTATTTACTGCTGTCAATATTCTCTTTATGCGTACTTACCGTTAGGTTTTATTTCTTTGTTCACAGTAATGTGATTTGTTTATCACAAAGGAAAAGATACGTCCTCGTACCCGGAATTTAAAAGTGCAGTATCAGCTATGGCGCTGAATGTGACCTCTCTCTGTGAGAATTATGCCACGATATGTGAAATATAAGACAATTTAACAATTTGTGTGAATACAATTATATATATTATTATGATCTTAAATTATAGTATTGTACAAAAAATAAAAATGTATGCTTACAACTGTCATTTCAAATGAAGTGACTAGTACGGTATTGTCAGCTGTAGGTTCTTTTTTCTTTTTTGCATGAAGATTGAGTTGAGAGGGTGTATATACATATATTAGCAATGGGAATTTGCATCCCCATTACAATTATATTATATAATCCTTTCTCCCGATATAGTATTTCTTCTATAGACATATGTATGAAATGAACGTAGATATGTATAATTGAGCTACCGTTACATATTCTAAAAAAAAATCGTCATCACAGATTTGAATACAAATATTTACGTTGTGCAAGATCGAACCTGCAGATATCAGAAGGTGATCAAGTGTGTTAAACCGCTACACCGTAATGGTGGTCAAGGATTACATAATAATATACATCCATACATATCACACAGGGATGACCCTATATGGTATATTCCAAACCAAGAGTTTACACTATAATTGACTCCTTATTATATCACCTGTGCTATGATTATAATAGCTGATATACATAATAATCGTATTTTTTTTTAATGTATGAAAATGGAATTGTAACCCTGCCCGCGCTAACGGTATATACTGAATAATGATCGTACTGGTATCCGTATATAATATTCACAGGAGAAGCAAGCTGAAATGGCAATGGACTGGTCACATAGCTAGAAAAATCGACAACCGATTAAGAAGATAGTTCTTAAATAGCGACCCCGTACGGGCAAACGTAGTGTAGGGTGACTACCCCACAAGATGAAGTGACGATTTACATTGTAGGGAGTCAATGGATAAAGGTGGCTCAGGAGCGGTCCTTATGGCAGTCTATGGGGGAGGCCTATGTTCAGCAGTGGACAGATAATAGCTAAAATGATGATGGTGATGATATTCTATTCAAAAATAAATTATAAATCTAAATTACGTTTTTCTAGCACATATGTCGACCCTAATTTTTTTTTAGTGGGCCTGGTTTTAATACGTATATATGTACCTATCTATATTAATAAATAACAAAATGCTCGCCTCTGATGATATTGATGTTATGTTTATGAGTATATATAATTCATTAAATATAATCTTAAATTATTTATTATAGCGCGGGATAAAATCAATGTCAGATCATCGGGACAATCGGGATTTGGGCTGGGCATGACCTCGGCTAACCTGCTTCGACCTCGGTATAAGTACAACTACAGAACTCTGATAACACGTGTCACATTGAGATGCTCAATCGGTTTTTATGTAATATATAGTATAGTGCACGTATCCAATTCATGAGTTCATTTATTTATTACAGTAAAAAAAAAATGTAATGAATGATGAATGTGGAAAAAAATTAGTCCCTATTTACTTCTACTTAAACAACGATTTTTTTGTAAAGGACATCAAACATTAAAAAATATAGTCGAACTTAAAACTTTCTCCATTTTTGAAGTCGGTTAAAAAGGACGAGATTCTCAATTTGTTGTCAATGAAGAATAACAAATGTAATGTACGGTATAATGTACATATAAATTCAAAATGTAAGAACATGTAATAAATTTGAATCGGCTTGTTATGACCATTTTCTCAATACTTTCCTTTTTTTTTATTATAAACTGGCAATCGATTAACTTTATATACAATTCTCGCGATTCAAAAATTATTTCCAATGATTATAATACTACTAGTATAGTATATTATTATCTCTGCTTGAGGCTTCATTTTTTATAAGTTCTATAAATTATTGCTTTCTGACTAATACTTCACTTGCATCCAAATAAATTATATTAACTCATTACTGCTCATTTATCGTGTCTGGACCTTAACTTAGCTAGAAAGTGAAATATATATTTTATCAACCAAATGAAGTTGTGCCTCGCATATTATGGTTATCAGTAAATTGATACGTTTGTTCAGATCTAGTTGGTTTATGCCAGTGCCGATCTATCACACGAGTGGGATATTTACTACATCGAATCCAGTCAGCCAGTCCGCCGACACACGTCTGGTGGAGAGCGCGCTTAAGTTCTAATTTCAAATTTCGCGCCTTTACATCGAAAACAGATGAACGTGAATTTACTTGTTCTAAACAGTACTTTCGTAAATTAATATGTTAAAACGAAAACAACTAGAATAATAGTGTGTTCGATTTATTATAATTAAAATAAGTTAAAATTAGTAATTTTATTTGTGAATAATAAATTAAACTTTACTAACATTAAATAATTAACCTATATTAGTGTCAGCCAAAAATCCAGTTTTTATTTAATCACAACATACGTCGGTAAGTATTTTATATTAATATTAAAAAATCAATAAATTTTGATTGTATTTTCATCAAATATTGGTACAATCGTACCTGTTGATTATCAATTTTTAGACGAATCACTCCTAATAATAAAAAAAAAATTATTACACTTGATTTTACCTTCAACTATTTGTAAATCCTTATAAACATAAATGTAACAATTGTAGTTAATCTTAGCGTTATTTTTGTCGAATCGAGTGATTAAGAAGTAAAATAAACAAAAAATAAAATAAATAAAAAATAATTTATGCACTATTATTTCAAAAAACAAAAACGCATGCGCCAAGATATAGACACTTATGTAGATAACACTTCGCTAAGTTGAGTGGGAGAGAATGTTTTTAGCATTAAGTCATAAGCGAGAGCAACATAGGTAACTAATTACTTTTATAATAAATTAGCGCACATAATATATGTATATTAAAATTAAATAATCCTCTCTTCCAAAAAATATTATTATTATCTTAATCCTAACCAGGTATTTTAGGGAAGGGATTATTAGTAATAGGGATTAGCAACCCTATTACTAGCAATATAATCTATCAGGTTGACCTCTTCGCGGTTCCCCCTGGAAACCATCGTGATTGATTCATTGGTGAATTTATCATGATGGGCTAACTGAACTGCTTCATCTTCACTTATTAATCACTGGTACCCTGCCAGTGTATATCTTTAGCGCAGGCGGGGTTACCATTCCATTATCATCTGTTAAAAAAAAAACAGGCATTTTAAGGCATCAAATTTGTATGAACATATTCTAAAAGTACATTTCGTTTTTCTCCGTATAGTCGAAAAATGTCGAAAAAATTTGCTATATGTAGGTATATAAATAAATTTTAATTGTGTATTTGCACGTAGTGTAGGTAGGTATAATAAAATTTAAATTAATAAAAGAAAATAAAAAAAAGAAATATTAATTAGAAAAATCATAGATAGATAATAGTTTAATAATAGTTTAAGCATAAATAATCCTATTCTTACAGTATAATGCTTTTTTTTTTAATAAGATGTTTTACGGCTCTGGAAACTTGTCCTTATGAGCCATCAGTATAATGCTAAGGTATAATGTTGCCATTAAAAATTTGTTGATGATACTCGGAAGTACGAGTATATCTATTTTTGCCTGCACTATTATGAATGAGATGGAAATATTCATGATGATTATAATATTATAAAATATGTGTATAGGAGTGTTTTTCTTGTTGTTTTTATTTTCATAGGTTGAGACTATATTTTAAAATAAAAAAATTACCTGGAAAGACCTTTTTGAATTATTCCTGAACTGGTTATAGAAGGTATTGTATAAAATATTATTTTAAAAGTACTAACAGCTTAGGAGATTGAAAAATTGATTTAAGTTTCTTTACATTTAAAAGCGTATTAACTCTCTAAACGATGTTTGTGTATTAAAAACTTACATTAATTATATTATCAATAGTTGATATAATAAACAAACAATGGCAAGTTTTATAACTGCTATTAAAATACCATCTTTATATTACTAGAGTGCCGAAAGGCCAGAGGTCGTGAAATAATATCTTAAGTACCTACTTTGCATAATCAATGAAAATTGGCGGCCTTCTTTGGGCAGCGGCATATGGTGTTAATAAAATACTCACTGTATATTCTGTTGTACACGTTAATACATATTGCAAATTAGTTTCAATTGTTTATCATGTTTTCATATAACATATTTTTTTAGAAAAAAAATTCTCAACGGAATAAAAGTTTTTAGAAGTTTCCTTTAAAGACCGCAGTTTAATCAACCTGTATAAGGTTTGTTATATCATATCAGTAATAATTGTTGGCCAAAACTAAAAAAAAGAACACACACACACATACATATAAAAATTATAATTTCAATTATTCTATAGTGGAAAATAATAATTAGTGGGTATTTAAATTCAATCGAATGTTACAATACTCGTAAACTATAAATATCTACGCAAAATGACAAGTTATATTGTTACACATAACAACTAATTTCAAGCAAATAAACCATATATTATCAGGGTTAATTTTTATATAAATATTTACCTAGGATTGAGGAATTCCTTTTTCGAAACCGGTTTTTACAACATAATGGCATTCAATGTTTTTTGCTCAAAAATTACAAATAAAACAGGATATGTTTACAACATTGTGTTCTGTGTGAAAATAAAATTATTCAAATAAGTTTGACCGGTTCAAGAATATTTAAAGCAATAAAAGGAACAAATACAATAAAAGCTTTCCGTGTGTATACATAAACGAACTTACTTATACATACTTTATCACATGCACTGTACCGGTGAATATATTTTTATATAAAGGTAGTGTTTTTACGTAATTCTTAACTTTTCTTAGTGCCTTTTAATTTTTCTTAAACTATTTATAAGCCTAAAATGTGAAGGTTAGATTTTAAAAAATCCGTTATAAACTATATTTTTTATTTTTCCTTGATATGTCATCATCATGACTTCAACTTTTAACTGTCCACTGTAGAACAAGTCTCCCCCTTGGGGATGTTTGCCAGTAGTTGTCACGCTTGGCAGGCGGGTTAGCAACCGCATTAAGGCTTTAGAAATCATTTAAGAAGTACGATGCTGCTCATCCCTCGCCCTTCCTTAGTCGGTTCATACGACACCAACGGGAAAGGAAGAGGCGGCCTATTCTATGCTGGAACCACACGGCCTTAAAATGTGAAAATTATAAATTAATTTTTAGCTATACGGAACCTAAAAATATGAGTACCATTGAAATGAGATAAAATCATGCTCGTTGAAATTCATCTAATCAGTTCCGATTCTCGACACTTCTATGTAAACAAAATACTCATGAAATTGGCACAATGTGATTTGTTTTACTGTGTCTTTTGGATTCTCGAAATAAATAAGAGATAGATAGAAACATACATAACAACTTGACTACTTCAATCTCAGATAAATTATCACAATGCATCGGCGATTTATGTCTTAGATAACGACTATACCTAACTACTTAATAAGCAAATAAATCGCAGATTAATAATAAATCACGAACAATTCTAATTGTTGAGTCGTGCAATCGTGATGATAAATACAAACATACGCACATACAAACACCCTTAATGTACTCTTTGTTCTTCAGCAGTCGGGTAAAAATTATAGCAAAACGCCGCACCCATCTTTCTACGAGTATTTTTATAGTATTTGACTAGAGTCAGTATAGAACCTGCTAAAGGCAATATAATTAAGGGACATTTTTACAATAATCTCATTCCGGATCCCTACAATTATTGAAAATGATAGTATTTTTATACTCTATAGGTATATCTTTTAATGTGACCATCAACTCACGTAAGGCAGCGTCAATTAAGTGCTTCAGTGGATAATAGAGGCAATAATAAATTTTAGAATACGATTAGGTATTTACCTCGTACAAAGCACTGAGAATCCTGACATATATCGGAACTATACAAAAAGTAGAAATAAGATTATTATTATTTATTAAATATATAGGTATTTGTACATATATGTATGTATATATAATTATGTACTATAATAGCTAATTCACACACAATGTAAAATATTGTATATGGCTTAAACATAATAGGTACGTACTAACAAGATAATGCCTTTACTCTTTTTATAGCTGGAACCACCAATTTAACGTCGACGAACAAAAATCGTGCGTGAAACAACACATTTCACCCCACAACACACCTATGTTTGTTTTTTAGTGAACTGGGCCAGTTGTTTGTTATTTCCGAGGTCATATGCCTTTTGGGCACGTAAAGTTTACTGATGGTAGAATTTTATATAGCTCACCTGGCTGGTAGGTACTACCTTACTAATTTTTCATACAGATATACTTAGGTAATAGTAAAGTAACAACGCAACAAGATAGCATAAGATTTTTGTTAAAACTTATATTTTGACAAAATTATTATGGGATCAATATAATAATTTGAATAAGAATTACATAAATTGGTCGAAAATTGAAATTAAAATGTGATCGATTTAGAACCTCTTCCTTATTTGGAAATCAGATTAAAAATAATAATCGATCATATATATGCCTTGTTTATAGTATACGAGCAGTAGTCTCCGATATCCAATATTGTTTATTTATAGATACAGGCGATTAGTTACCATTTTCGTCAGTCATTACCTTGCTTGGCACTCCCCGTGATACAAAAAAGGCCAAATTCCAAATCTCTTGACAGTACCTGACACGAATAAAAATAAACGAATTTACCTAACTGATTTATCAAATAATCTAGGCAAATATTCCCAAAATATTCATTATTGAGCGTCGATATTGTATCAAGTTTAATGTACTGGAATATTCATTTGTTTATTCTTTATATAATATCAGATAACGAAATCCATTTTGTTAATAACAGACTTAAAATCATGTTAGTAAAGAAGTTTAGCATTTAGTAAACCATATACATAATAGGCATCTGGTCAGAACGACAACGAATCAGGAATTGGTTTATAATATCTAAGTTCATGTTAGGTATCTTACAGGGTAGGCAGATAAAAATTATGTTGAAAGCATCTATTGTTCCATTCATTTCTTGCTTTATCCATTTTCATAACTTATCATATCTATAGGTAACTTCCGATCCCTTTTTTTCAGATAGTATACAGTCCAATATGGGGGGGAAAGGGATTGTTAGTAATGGAGACTGAGAATCCAACCAGGTCGACCTCCTCACGATTCTCCCTAGAAACTATCATGATTAATTCCTAATGAATTCATCATCATGGGCTAACTGGCCTGTTTTCATTCTCATCTATCACTCTTCACTGTTGCGTACTGGTGGTGGCGTATTCCGTTAGCGCAGACGGGGTTACCATACCATTTTCACTTATCAAAAAAAAAGTCCAATATGATCATGAGATTAGTCTCTTCAATTACCTGCATCCTTGCATTTTAGCGTCGCATACAATTCTTCCTAAAGAAATATTAAATAAGTATACATTTTTAACAATAAACAGTTTTCATTT